ACATGGTATGTGGTGTGAAACACAGCTTGGAAAATCCAGCTTTGTGAACACTGAATGCTAAAGCCTGACAATGCTATCAGAAACAGTATCATCTGCAAAAAGTCTTGCAAGAACTAAGTTCTTGGCAGATCTCAGATTCCAATTATTATCATCAGTGCCAGCTCAATTCTCTCCATACCTCCCTTTCACCTGCCTGCTTCAGGATCATCCTGTACCACACTGTTTCCCAGGTGGTAGGACACGACTGCCGGTGTGAGAGGGTTTAATTTTGGGCTAGAGTTTTGCATCCCAGGTAAAAATCCATGCTGATTCTGCATAAAAACTTCCCCAGGGAAGTTGGAGAGCTTGTTTTAAATGCTTGAAAGCTTCGGGGGAAGAGGTTATGCAAGCAGTAGGATCTGGGTTCTGAAAGTAAATCCATGCGCATGGGGTTTTGTGTTGTTTTTTTTGTTTGTTTTTTGGGTTTTTATTAAGAGAAAGTCAATCTGTGTGTGCCTGTGGGGGGGGGAGTGTTTTTTATTATTAGCTGGAGCAAAGATGAGTCAGTCACACAGGTCATGCAAGTCACTGCTTACTGTGCTTCTCTGTTCTGCTGGGGGAATGCTGAGCTCACTAATATTCAGACAATTCAATTGACCATCATGAGAATGCAGAAGCACCCTGGATTTGGACTGTTTTGTGTTCTGTTGTGAATGCACAGAAATGTGGAGTCCTGTGCTCTCAGTGCTGGAACTGTAGCACTTGTAATAGTAAAAATTGTGTCTTTAAAGACTGCAGGAATAACTATACAGCGAGGCAACTTGCCCCTTTTTTTTTTTTTTTTTTTTTTTTTTTTTCCCCTCCCCCTGAAATAATGGGGATAATTTCCTAAAAAATATATTTCTAGGTGGAGCTAGATGTTGGATATTGTGTTAATAAGCTACTGGAGCTTCTTAATGCTGCTGCCTTATTAAAAAAAAAAAAAAAAAAGTTAAAAACCAGAAACCTAATTTCCTTTTGTCTGTAAAAAACAATTTCCTTTTCTGTATTTACTCAACTCAAACCAGATGTGTTTTCATAATATAAATGGTTTGGTATTGTGTTTGGTGCATATGTAACATGCTGCTGGTGCTTTCCAGTCATGTCCTGTTCCTGCATGTGCAATTTGGGAGGACGGATTTCTTAAAATGTTTTCCTTATAAAGCAGAGGAGCTAAAGACCACTTGAGAGTGCATATAGCTATCCTGGGCAGAAGCAGGCAATATTTTTGTTAGAGTTCAGTGTTACTTGTAAGCAATGAATATTGCAAAGATGTTGAGTTACATACTGATGGTTGCATAGTGGAAATATGTCAGGGGTCTAGCTAGCCTGAGGACGTTTGTTGTCAAAGTCCTCGGTGTATAAAATCCCTTCAAATGCTTTCAGAACAGCTGTTGATGCGATGTGCAAAGCCTAACCGCTTGCCTTCAGTTACTAAATGTGTTCTATTTGATTTCTTTGAGGCTTGAAATTATTTTATATTATCTTTTGTTGCAATCACAAGAAAGTTAAGCTAATTCAGATCTGTAAGTGCAATATCATATACAAATGCCTAGCAAAATTGAAAACTGTAGCCACTGATACTAGGACTTAGCTACTTAGCCCAGGGGAAAACTTAAAATTGGCTAGTGTCTGGTGAAGAAGCATAAGAAAAATAGATATAAATTTTTCAGAAAAAATAGCTAATATTATAAACAAAGGCTGAGATTTTGCTACCAGCAGGACATGTTGTATGAAACTGTGAAGTGTATAACTTCTGTAGAGTAATATATCCTACTGAGATGGGGGGGGACATGCAACACACCAAACACTCAATGAAACAGTACAATTGTGAAACCATTTAACTCCATTGCTATTGATGAATGATGTGGGGGTTCCCCCCAGCCCTTCTTCAGAATTAAGGAAAAAAGCCAAACAACCTCACTTTTGTGAATATAAGAGAAAACTAAAAAAATCAAGAACATTCCCATTGGGGGCAGATTTTAAATTGTATGGGTCAGGGTGAATCATAATTTGACTGGAACGCTGCAAGTGGGTGTTTTGTTAAAGATGTTAAGGAGCTGAAGTAGTATGGTGTAATAGTGATAATAAAGCAGCTGGGCATTCAGCGGAAAACAATATGAACAGCACATAAATACCTTGTCTTCACTGCAGAGGAGCAATGGCACAGTGCAGATTATTTTGTTCAGTTAAAGCCTGTAGAAATTGTAAGAAATCTGGCATGAATAGACAAAATGGATTGTAGTCATTGCTGCACAAAGAAATATGGGGACTTAAGAATTTCAAGCTGATCATCATTTGGAAAACAACACAGAACCAGTTAAGATGCTGTAACTCCTCTACAATTATGTTTTGAAAAAATAAAGAAGCTTATTTTTTTTAGTGTTTGAACTAACAAAAGTTAGAAGTGATTTCAGTTACATCTATTAATTGTTGTAGTTTCACGACAGGCTTATTAGCAACTTTGCAATAATTGAACAGACAGAAGAGTAAAATCCTTCTTCCAAGGGCTATGGAAAACAAGTAATCATCATACCAGGCATAGATTAAAATCTCTTTTATGAAATAGAGTGTTACTGCAGGATTTTACATGGAACAGATGTGAGAGATTAAGTTGGACTGAAAATATACAAAATGCCTGCAGATTTAAAAAAAATAAAGTGGGGAGCAATGTGTGGAATAGCACTGAGATTAACTTAAACATCCAGGGAAACAAAAAAGAGAAGTTCTTAAATGTTGTAATGGTTTGTGCTACCAGCTGATGAGTAGGAGAGGGCGTGTGGGAGCGGGCAGCGTGCCCGCTGTTCCCAGCCCAGGAGGGGCCGTAGGCCAGTCCCGATGCTGGAAGAGCTGGGGGGCTCGTCCTCAGCTGGTCAGGCCATCGTTCATCTGGTGACATCCCGGGATCACAGCAATTCCCCAGGACAGAGAAAAACGTGCTGACCTTGTGAGTGGGATACAGAGGGTTTCAAGGCTGGGCGGTGTACAAACCACCAAAATTTACACCAAGATTTGCTTTGCTGTGTCAGATTTTAATGCTCAAAACAGCCCTTGTGGTTATAGACTGGTTCTTATTTTCGTGGTGCTCAAAGCACCACAGGACACTTCGCTTGCTGGAGTTGCAATAAGCCAAAGAAATGATGCCAAAATGACCTTCAAGGGCCAGTTTGAGTCTTTGCTGGAAACAATGCCTGACGGTACGGGTAGTGACCCGGTGCCAGCTGCCGTGAGCGCCGGGAGCGCCAGCTACCGCCGGCCTTCTCTTCTCAGAAAGAGGGCATCAGCCGTGGCACCAGGCTGGGGCTCCTGCGGAACTCTGGCCGCGTGTGCTAACGGAACAGATGTGAAAAACACTCGAATCGGAGCGCCAGCTGGAGTTTTCAGCAGTAACCAAGGACAACTGCTCGTACGTATAGACATAGGTTTTCAAAAATGCAATGCCTGTCGCAACAAGGCCCTTTGTGTTTTAGGGAGTGGCAGCTACTCTGCAGAGACCTGGATGGATGTGTTACGAGGAATCCATGCTTCGCTGCAGTAAATTGCCTTTCTGATAGCCATAAAGAATACTTCAGACCAGAGACAAGTCTTTCAGTACAAGTGGTAGAAGTGTTAACGTTTGCCTTCAAGGCAGATTTTCCTGTAGGTGACAAATACAGTTCCCATTCAAAGGAAATAAGGTTCTATTAAAAAGCAGAGAAGTCTGTGTTGCTCCCTCTACTTGCTTACTGATCTACTCAGTGCAAAAGAAATGAAACCACTGAAACATCACAAGAAATAAAAAGCAGCAAGATGAAATACTATAAGCCAGAGAGCAAGTTTTTGGTAATACAAACTGAATGTTTGATGCTACAAAGTCAAAACCAGCAGCCTGTTACCACAGCAGATATCTTGTATTACATCCAGTGATGCTAGCTATAAAATATCAAATGTTCTGAATTTCAAATGTACTATTTTTATTGCATAGCTGTTCCCTATAACAACAAAGGTTTCAATTCCTGAATATTTTTTTCTGTTGTTTCTTCAAAATTCAGTCAGCATTGTGCAAATTAAAATAAAATAGTTGATGTTCAGAATATGCTGTATTTAAGTAGCTGCAAGCTGATATTTGGAAAGAGGCATGGGATGCTAACTCCACAGAACTCCTATTCACTGCATTTATCGAACTTCTAATTAAGCTGTTTAGTTAGGTATATTTAATATACATACAGCTTAGTACAGGACACAATTTGTAACAACGAAGTCCCTGCAGACCTTATCCTGCCAAACAGTTAAGGTGTGTGCTGATGGAGACCTCCAACAGGAAAAGTAGAAGAACATGGTAAGAGAGAATTTACTCAAAATTTAACATGTAACTGCTGGATGATGTGTTCAGTCTTCCTGAAGAGTGTATCTGTATATAGATGCATTGCCTGTTATGGCTTTTTTACACAGATACATTGCTTTGTTCTTAAGGGGTATTGAAAAATGGCTAGTTGGCAATCATGCTGCGCTGGAATCGCAGCCTGAACCCTCGGCCTGATGTTAGGATAGTTCCATGTTAAAAATACCCGTGGTGTCTTTGCAAAGTTATGTGGCGTGTGTGTGTACTGTCCTATGGTGTTGATCAGACTAGGATTACTTTCATGGAAACTTTACCATTAGTATCTTGCACATCATTAATAGTTTGACAGAAAATAGAAAATAAAATTAGGGTATCTGCAAGAGAATATGTATGTTGGAGAATTGTCTAAAGACATGAAACCAGCTCATGTTTATAGTCTTCTGCCCCCACCTTGGGAAGAGTCAGACTTCTCATGGAATTCCACTTGCAAACTTTTATTTGCATGATGAAATTTAATCATCTGATAGATCCTCTTGTGTTCAGTTACTTCAGACATGTATGTTAGGCAGGTACTTCATGCTTTGTGAGCCTTGACTGCTCACCCTCATTTATGCCGGTGCATAGAAAGACAAGACAATTATCTCTCTAATTTGATTCATAGAAACTGTGAGTGAAGTCTTGGATGTTGCAGCTTCTTCTGCCCATGAGGAAAACTTAGACAGTGTCAAGGAAGGAGTAGCCTCAGCAGCTCAAGAGATTTCTGACACATCCTCAAGGAGCCAGGACGTTGATGCTGAGGAGTCGGGGCAAGCTCCAGAAGGTGCAAGAGTACAGCTGGGTCTGAAACCTTTTGTCTCTGGAAAGCATGAATGGCTGTTTGCACAGAACTAGCTGCAAGAGCATGCAGAGCTCCAGTGATGCAATGTGGCTGCTAGCAATGACTGTCCTTGGCATCATAGTGTTAGCAGACAAATGAATTTTGAAATTATATGCCATGTGGTAGAAATAGTATTGCTAAGTAGGACTGCGGGGCTGTTACGAGCTCTGTGGCCTGTTAAGTGGCTAGATGTAAAGTTCATTAAGAATGAGAAATTCTCCCTTGTGCTGCACATGATGTAACACACTTTTTCAACATCTGACTTAATTTGAAAGATAGAATTTTCTTAAATTACATAGCTGTAAACAAAAATATAGATCATGTGATATTTATAAATGTTACAGTGTTTCAATGAAGCTATAAACGATCTTATATTACTATTGAAGTTGAAAGATATGATTGAATGCAAAGAAAAATGTGTGTTAAAATCATCACTGCAGAGATTTTGAAAGGAGTTTACAAGTTTGGCCCCTAAACTCTTCTACAGTTAGAATTAAAAAGCTAAAAGTAAAAATGTCTGTCTGCCTAATATGATTTTGCAAATGGTATCCCTTTAGTCCAGAGGATCCTTTGGACTAAAGGAAACAATCAACTATGTGTCATCAATTAAGTTGTTTCCAGTGTTTCTGATTGATGTTTTGTCTCCATTTTCAGTTTCTGTGGAGGAGAAGACACCTGAAGAAGTTGCTAAGGAACCCTAAAGGTACACAGTACAATTGCAGTGTGTAGTTTCCCGCTCTTCACCTTTCTTTTTTTCTCAGTTAGTGGCAGTTGCAGCATGTGGTAAGTCTGCACGTGCAGTCTGATGGTGAATTTGTATTTCTGCTCCCAACAAGTACGCTGCAAAAAAGAATGTAACTGAAGTATTTCTTATTGTTTGGGAACCATTGCTGGCATCTTTTAGAGGCTGGGGAGCAAAGCTTTTCTATATCACGTCACACTGGCTATTTATTTGTGGCTTTATCTTAGTCCCATGCAAACTGGATAAAGACCCAAGAGTTGTAGCTTTTTTTTTTAGGAAAAAAGTGTTCTTTGGACATCGGTTTAAATTATATAGATACTGGACTTCTGGATGATTTCCCTATATAAGTGAACTCTTCTCTTGTTATCCTCAGTGTGAACATGGTGAAGTTGTAAACAACTGGACTGATTTTTTTTTTTTTTAAGACATTTTTTCATGGTTAGTTTCTGCACTTTTAGTTTGTGCTAATGAAAAATAGTGAATATAATATTCTTACTATTTTGCTAGTGTCTTGCTCAGTTGGCTTTATTACTTTATATAATAAAATATTTTGTCCACAATATTCTTACTATTTTGCTATTCCCTGTGACTCCCCTTTCCAAACTGGACTGTAAGATGGTGACAGAAATCTGAGGGAATAAAAAGTTTGGCTGAAATATGAACATGAATCTTGGTATAAAAGATATTAGCTAGAATAGATACAACTGAAAGTTGAGCAGATGAACATCCCAGGTCAGGAATTCTCAAAATTATTTTTGCTGCTAGTTAACAATTCTTGGAGCACCGGTACAAGAGGAGAAGAAAATGGAGCATAGAAAGTTATTTTTATTGACATCCTCAAAATGTATGTTCTAAATGCACTTATACAACCTTATTGTTATGTTCTGAGTCCTTTGCAAATGCATGTTTGCTTATTCCCTCATCCACTGCAATATAAAATAAGGTAATGCCTCTTATCATTTTGTGATAAAAGGTGAATATTATTCTCAAACTGCATGGTCTTTTTCTATGTTTTTTAGCTTTCAAAACGTAAGAAAAATAATTAAAGCAAAGCCAAGCTCACAATAGTAAAGTAATTTACAAAATGCTAGTGTAAGATATGTTGCTTTATCAAATATAAATTTTGTGTTTTACTAGGAATACTTGTGTGAAGGGGAACAATATTTAATGAATGTGGGTGAGATGTGCAGAAAAGTTGCAAGAGTATGCCTCTCAAAGCTGTTATTTTTGCTCAGAATGAAAGCTAAGGGCACCTGAGGATATCGCATCAGAAAAATAAGTTACTGAGAAATTCTCTCCACTCTGGGACACATAAATGCACGGCTACAGAGAAAGCAATAGAGTTAGGAATCTGTTTTTCCCTGTAAACATCTTGCAACCCTAACAATTGTTGCATTGTTATTCCAGATTTTGATCTAGACAAAAATCACCCAACGTGTCCTGATTCAGTTAATGAAGGCAAAGATGGTAACTGAAAGGGCTAGGAGCGGGAGGGAAGGCAAGCTGTAGGAAGCACATTTGGTGGGGCAAACTGAAAATAGGTGAAAGATAGACTAATCTGCTACCAGAATATGCATCCACTGAATTCTGCTTAAACTGCTCAGGTTCTTTTTGACAAAAAAAAAAGTCCTTTTATGAATATAGCATCACAAGGTTAGAAAAGTGTCTCTTACTACTTTCCGATTTATTCTTGTTGGAGAAAAAAAAAAAAAAAAAAAAGAAGTTTATAAAACATTTCACTAGTGCTGGAAGATTGCCGCTGGATTGACACCCAGACTGACTTTTCCCAATTTACCGGTCAAGAACCACAATGCATTCCCAGTTAGGAAAGAACTAATTTTTTTTTTTTTTTTTTTAGTGTATTTTGTATTGTAAGCACTTTAGGGTACAGACCTTAACTTTCAGTTTGCATTAAAATAGATCATATTTTGGGGGGAATGAAAAGCAAAAATAATAATAATGTCGATGTGAGAATCATATGACTATCCAGTTCACTTTTTAAAAAACAAAATAAAACTAATTATTGGATGAAGGGATAGAAGTAGTAGTAATGAATGAGTTCCTCAGATGAAGCCTTGAATTGTTGCTGACAGCATGCCTGAGTAAGAGTATACTATTGTTCCTCTTTCTACTGCATGTGGCTGTTGGCCCCAAATTCCCACTGCTGTGAAGCTTCTTATATCAGTAATCTCAGCAAACACGAGTGGTTTACCTCGTACCTAAATTTAAGCAAGTAACTATTTGTAGAAGTAAGGCTTTGTGGAATGTGCCCAGCATGCAGGGGAATTCATTTATACCTGAGCAACACGGCTGAAGATGAGGGATTCTTTGAAACTGGGCTTTGGTGGTGGTCGCAGACCAAATTTTCACAAGCCATCAGATAAGCACACATGTATGCAGCAGTAGTGTTTATATGCTGTAATTCATTTAACTGATAACGTGCAGTCAAATTTATGGTGTTCTTGGAATGTTTGTAAAGAAAAAGACCTGATGAATCAAGTCTGTTGCTAAACATCATTTACTGTTGCTTCCTCTAAACCAGATTCTTTTTTCTTTTTCCCAGTAAGCAGTGCTGAAGCCTTTGAAAAGTTTAATGGAAATATTTGTGGCAATCAAGCAGATGATTCCTGTGTGAAACCTCATACTCTTCCTCGGAGACGTAAAAGAAATTGTGCAGTTTGTCATACCACACACTGCCCATTAGAACCAGTACTCATTGTTGCAACACACAACCTAATACGATTTAAGTTGGTTAGAGACGCTTCTGTGATTAACATCTCTGCTTTAGAAAGTAGCATCCAGTAATAAGTGTCAAAGCACCACCCAGCATGTAATAAATACAAGTGCTAAGAGAAGCAGTAGACTTAACCAAAACCATGTCAGGTGAACTCGTTCTAGGTCTTTATTGTCTTGTTATGTACATTGATTTCTTTTGGTCCAAACTGAGGTGCATAATTATACCATTGTAACATTCCATGCTAAAATAGAAGTAAAAGGTTTTAACTAAGTGAAAATCTTATAAAAATTACCTGTTAGTATTTTTAAATTGGGTCATGGGGAAAATAACAACCTTATTTGCTCCCAAGTCTGGATTAGCAAGTATAAGCATAGGACATTTTGAAGTATAAGATCTAATGTTCCCCCTGCATAAACATCTCAGATGCTACCCTTCCTGGCACAATAATATCCAGGAGTAAACATTTTTAAGGCTCCTGTTTTGAGAACAAAACCCGTTTGCAAGTGGTAGCAATAGGTACTTTATAGCATGAAAATCAGAACACCCCCAGTTGAAGTTATCATCATCGACCAAAGCGGTGGCTCCTACCTTGGGGCTGCTGGGCGCTGTTCCCACCAGACCTCGTGCAGCTTGCTGTGCAGCTTGCTGTAGCCTTTCTGTGTTGTCTTGTCTCAGCAGTGGCAGGCAGCAGCGGCATACCAACGCAGAGGTTTGAGAGAACACTCTTGTACAGCTCATGAGCAGTTTAGGCTATGGTAAAGCTCCTCTCCAAGCGCTTGCAGGTGGCCAGCAGAATCCCCATGGAAGGCTATGCCACAGGCGTTCAAATGGACAGGTATTCTTGGGGACTAATAAGGAACAGGATAGCTAAATAATTTTGTCTTGTTAGTATTATCTTAATAAAATTATCTATCATGAATAATGGGTTTGCATGACACTGTTCTAACACTCCATTGTGCTATGGGCACGTGCATGAGAGTGAATCTACTACAGCACTTTTACTGAGACCCCCACCTGCTAAAAAGCTTTACAGCCATCGCAGAATGGCGATAATTCTAAACCAGGGCAAATAAGGTATATTATACACAATGTATATAGGAAGTGTCAATTATAAGGTGTACCTGACTGCTTTCTCTTCAAGCAGAAGTTTGGAAACATGTTGAAAGGGAAATGACAGCATTATGACATTCCCACCCTGGCACAAAGCAACACATGCTCCTTCCCCCATTGTAAAGTAAATTATAATAGTGTTCCAACAGAAATACAGCTTATTGCCCCTGTACCTGCTTGGGAATAACTGGAATAATGCAGAGGCAAAATCAGGCTCCTGAGCTTCAAGAAGCCATACCACAGCCTTCTGCTTAGAGGATAAAGCCACTGCGATTAAAAGCAATTTTTGTAGACAAAGCTACTGGAATAAAAGTCTTAGACTGGCACTTTGTTGGTTGAGAGTCTGTCTTCATTTATCTGGTAGATTAAACATCCTATGATGGATGCAACTCTTAAATGTTCTATTCATTTTCACTAATTCCTAGTGAAAGAAGCCATTTCTAATTTCTGCAGCTGGCAAAAGGGTTTCTGAAATTGTAGGTTTTGCTGAATGTCCCTTTGTCTCTGGAACTGCTCAGGTCCAGGGCAAAATATCTTAGACCTTGGGAACAGGTGCCTGAGGAACTGAAGCACAGCCTATGGTGCACTTTCCAAAGCTTTTAATCTTCCTAATTCCAAAAAATGTGTCTCAGGATAGCTTGTACATATGCGTCCTGCCAGAGATCCTCTTTTTTGATTTTTTTTTTAATTAAAAAACAAAACAAAAACAAAAACAAGACACTACTTTTGAAAGCCAAAGGAACTAAGAATATATTATAAGCTCTAGCTGTGATGACATGTAGCATGGCAGGGTCTGCTTCAGCACTTGATTATCCTAGATTGACAACAGAGGTATTCTGCAATTTGCAGAGGGCAGCTCTTCAAAATAAACAGCCAGTAACTGCATGCAGAATGTCTTCTTGCTTAATCAGAAGTTCTTTGTCTTATTGGCTAGGTAGTCCCTGGCCATCATTGATTACTTTTATCAGTCACGCTAGTAGGGAGTCTAATTACCCCATAGATTAGTATTTTTCTGTCCTTCACCTCCAGAAAATTGAGTATTTAAGTTGCTACACAAACTGTGATGAACCATATAAAATGGTGAAAGGGTATTGGCTTATTAAGGAGAACAAGACCACAGCAGAGAGCAGATATAATACAACACTGAAGGAGATGGGGGGAAAAGGTTTGTTCTCAACAATACACTTCAAAGCTCAGAGTAAAACTTGAGATTCCTAAGTTTGTCCAAACTGCAAATTGCTCCTCTGCAGACAGCAAGTATCTGTGAAACCAGCTGGCAAAGTGTTTCACCTCCCTCTAGCGCTAGTTCATGTGAAGGATGACAGCTTCTTGCAGCAGTTCACTTGGCCAAAATGCTGGAGACAGAGGAAGACCATCTAACAATTTCAGTTTTACTCTTTGCTCTTGTTTGCCAGTATAGAATTTAAATTTTATTTTCATTTGCTTCTTAGAAACATAAAACAATTACTTAAAAAGATCATTCAAACTGCAAGCCGGTACTCAAAATCTGGAAAAATCTGAGACTGAAATACTTTAACCAAGATTTGTGCATCTGCAGCAAGCTTTGACAATGTGATGAAAACATTTTTCTGAAAAAAAAAAAAAAAAAACAACAACAAAACAAACCAACCCACAAAAACCCAAACCAAGCCAAGACCTGAGGCTGTACTTTTTCCCCCACCTGCTGGTCTTGCTCCTTTCCCCTCCCTTGTAAATTTTGAGCCAACCAGCCAACCCCACCTTCTGTATCACGAGAAAGGTGGGAAGGACACAGAGGTCCTACCATCTGAGTGATAACCCAGGGGATCAGCAGCCTCCTCTGTTGTGTTTGCCAGCAGATGAGCAAATGCACATATATGATGCAGCTGAGTAGCACTTTGGTGGCTGTAATCAGCTACTGCAAATGCTGTTTTCTCTCTGTTGGAGGCTGGGGGGGTGCAAAGCTGAGCCAGCCGCACTGCAGGAGGAGAGCTCCAAGGGCCCAGGCATGGGTGAGATGGGGGCAGCATGCAGCATCTGGTGTGAAAGGACACAGGAAATACTGTCACTTGGTCTGCCACCCATGGATTAGCTCGTTCCCAGAGTGTTGTCTCTGTTGCCACACAGACAATTCTGCTCTTAGGAAAGGTACTTCTCAGTTGTACGTTTTGCTCTTGCCCTGCTCACCTGCTGCAGAAGATGGAAGGCATGCAGGATGATGGAAATTAAGTCCATCCCAGAGCGCCAGGCATCAAACATCATCATGGGTCACTGGATTCTTCTGTGTTCTGGACTTTACTCCTTTGTTGGGGATGCTGCGGGAGATGTTGCTACTGGGATGGTCAGAAGGGCTAAAACTGGAGGTCTTGGTGCTGGAGTTGTTCCTGCCATTTGCTTGAACTACAGGTAATTAAATGGGTTGTTGAAAAGGCATGATTTGCTTAGTGGTTTAGTTATCTGCAAATGTTCTCCACTTCCTCTTGACATTTTGCCAGACTCAACTGACAGCTTTAGCGAGCTCTGAAAGGCTGTTTGAGATTTATGTTCCACAGCTCTTGTATAATAAACAAATGGGAAGCTTCCGTGGAATATAAGACTCGTCTTCATGTGGTATGTTAATTATTTGTATTGGCTTCATGTGCAGATTCAGGGTCTCTTAATTACATAAAAATCTTGCTTGTTTAATGATAAATAGTTTTCTTTATTTTAAACCCTCATGAATTAATGATCTTTCAAAATATGTAAGTATGAGCTCTGCTAGGAAAAGTGTTAAACGTTGCTGTAGTTTCTGTGCTTCATCTCAAGGAGTTCAGCTGCCTGTACTTTGTCTTCTCAGTTTGGCATTGACTGCAGTATGGAAACCAATTAAATTGAAGGGGAGAATATAGAGAATAAGTGGAAGAGGAGAGACAGTAATATGTATCAAGATCATATTTCCTCTTTCCCTCTCTGTAATTACTCTCTTAAATTACTGTGGAGAGTCATTGCTCACCTTCCTATAATGTAATTTTTTTTCCCCCTGTCTTCTTTCTTCCTGCATAAGACTATCTTCTTTTTCAGTATTTACTGGGATACGTTATTCTCCAGTGAGGGCTAATTGAGAATAATTAACCATTGGGCCATTGGGCAACATGCACTCACATTATCAAGCAGAAGAGGGCACTAAATCAAAAGCAGTATGATTACTAAAAGCTAGAACAGAGAAAGAATCCCCTATCCCCAAAACCTGGAGCTGAACAATACATGAAGAAATGAATAATGTATGTTTTTTTTTTCACTGGAGAAAATTGGCTTGATTTTTTCTTGAAGTTTAATTGTGGTTTGGAGTAAATCCAAATCATACAGATCCTTTTCATTCCACTGTTGTAGTAAGTGACTAATTTCCAATGCAAAGTATGTGGTGCTGAGGCTGTTCTAATACGAGAGGAGCCAAACCTGGAGTAACTGTTCAGGGCTTGACAGTTCTTGCCAATGGGAACACAATGAAGCTGGATGTGAGTGTCTTTGTTTCCATTTAAATGATTAATCAAGTTCTATAAAATTAAAATCACTGCAGTCTTGCCCTTTTTCACTTATTACAAGTATCAGCAGTAGAAGGAGGCTACACGAAGTATTCAATCCTGGTTATAAACAAAGAGAGAAGGACTTTCAGTATTTGAAGTTGTTACTTTATGAGAAAAACCATAATGGCTTGATTTTCACCCCCTCCACATTTGCTTTCAGCATGTCTCTTCTCAGAATCTTGTCTTCTATACCGGTCCTGAGATAGCCTCACTCAGACACCGTCCACATGAAGTCATTTACTAATGGCAGAGCTCGGATGTTGCTAAATGAAAAGTATTTTCCAATGCTGAAACATGCTATGAAAGACAAATTTGTCTTTGAGAACAATTATTTTAAAATTTTTCTTTAAAGCAAAACATTTGAAAACAAACTAGATAATCTCTGTAAGGAATTTCTTCTCACAAAACACCAGTTTCCAAAGGGTTTTCCAGCATCAGAAGGATCCCTTGTGAGCATTCTGTTTTCTGCTATGTTTAAATTAAGAAAATCAACATGCCATGTACATCCCATGTATTTTTTTGGCTGAAAAATAAGTCAAGTCCTCTTTCACAGTTACTCTAACTTAGATCCTTTTTTTATAAAATATTTCAACTGCTGTATTTTAGTACATATCTAACATATGGCGCAAACAGCTACAGACTTTTTTCCTTTATATCCATGTAACTCCTTTGATAAAAGCAACACAAATTTATTCAAGGGTAAAATCCTGCCTGAAACAGATTTGTTTCAGCATTGCATTGCTTCCCTGCTCTAATCACATAACTCCCATGTAATTAGTGGTGTTACAACCTCTGCGATGCTGAGAATAAGAAGCTCTTGTGCTTACCTACTTTACAAGTGAAGTAGCATTGTAGTTTTAAGGAAAAGGGGGTGTCTGTTTGTGTTTTGGTTTGAGGTTTTATTTTACCTTCTTCTAACTTGTAGGCCATTAGGGGGAAATTATAAAGGAGACAGAATGAATTCAGCAAAGATTAGGATTAGATATCTAATTTAAAGGACTTTATTGTAAAATATAAGCTCCTTTAGTAGCCCACAGCATTAATAAAATCAAGGGATAGACAGGAAGTTTAAGTTTGAGTTAAGCTGACACTAGCTGTGTGCCTTCATAGTACAGAAACCTTGAATTTGGGGGCAACAAGAAGTCTGAAATTTTGCCTTAAAGCTGTCAGATCTGGAACTCTTCACAGATGGAACCTTTATTTATCTGGTATTTATCCTTGGCAATAGAAATATGTGAATCATCAGATCTATAGACCTCGAATTAGATTCCATATCCCTGCAAAAATAATTCCACAAGCTGGCAAGCCTTTCTTGTGCATGCCAGGTTAACCTGATCACCAGCTCGGGCTGAAGAAGGCGTATTCCCCCCCTGCCCTGCAGGCAGGAACAGCTGCAGGAGAGCGGATGCCCATCTCTGGGAAGTGTGAATCCCAATTTGCTTTCTAGAATTGACTGGTGGTTTGACCAGCATCTTGCAGTGGCAGGGATGTAAAGCACTGGTGCCATGCTCCACAACTTCTCTTTTCATATTTTGGTACCATTTGTACAAACTATTATCGGACTTGGGGAAACATTTGTCACTTTGTCATATATGAAATAGATAGCTGGTGACCCTGTCTGGACTCGGCATTTGCGGCATTGCCTGGGATTGGTACTAAAGATCTGTTCCAGTTACCAGCAGTGTGTCAAAACAGCCTTCTCCATTTTGGATCTGTCCAACTTGGTCCACTGCAAAAAACCCTGTTGGCAGGACAGATGAGGAACGGGTCTCCTAACTTTTGTG